AGATGAGGAGTCCACGACACATAATATCATCTGAGCATCACTAGGATTATGGTTCGCGCATATGTCTGCGTACAGAACCGTACAGCGTAGCAGGATGCTCTGAAAACAAACTCAGTGGCGTGAGGTCAGCATACAGCTTACAGAAAAGGAAATGACTCCTTAGGTAATCAACATTTGCCTTCTTTAACAGAATTACAGAAACCTGGCATCGCTTCAGAAGAGCTAGGTTAAATGCAGAATTCTCCATGAGTCTTTCCGCTTCAGAGAAGGGTTTGGATTTCGTTTTATTCCTTTGATACGGAACAGTATGGAAGTCGATCTGGCCAGCGAAAGAAAGGATTTGGGGAAGCCTGGGGATTATCCCACTTGGTTTATTAAGTGGCTTATTGGGTGTTCTGCTCCAATTAGGTTTGTTGAGATAATATCTGATGAGAAAAAGGAGCCCCAGTGTTTGGATGTTCAGTGGTTTTGTTTTTGTTTTTTAAGTGACTTTAAGGGGTTTTACCAACACAGTTTCTGCTGGCCTTTGTCCCATATAGAGCTTTCAATGCATTCAGCTGTAGTTGCCCTGACTGTGGAATGCTCTCCCCTTAAAAAGGGGGGCAGTTCGTGCTGACGTTGGCTTCCTTTTGGCACTGGCTGTTCACCCAAGTGTATGGGACCTAGTAAGGGCATGGCCTGCTATCCAGTTTGCATGTTTGATTTTTATTGGGGATTTGTTTTAACGTGTTCTAAAGTGTCTACTATAGTTTACATTGTTTTAAAGTTATTTCGCTAATTGTGCCCTGCCCTGATATTTTAGATATTGGGCGAGCTAGAAATAGTTAAATGAACAAGTGAATAAAGTCACATTGTCTTGATCTTAGGCATGGTCCCACTTGATCGTTTTGCTGTTTTCTGTAGGCGCTGATGAACACGTGGACTGCAAATTGGAGTGCAGATCGTAACCCCTATTTTGCAAGTCACTTAGAGTTTTCAAGATTATTCAGTAGATTTTTGCATCAGTTAATAATAATTATGTACTGTCAAGTCAATTCTGACTTATGGCAACCCTTTTCAGGGCTGTCTAGGTAGAGAGGGCCACCTAGAGTTTTACCATTCCCTTCTTCTGAGAGCATTCTTGGACTGTACAGCTTGCCCAAGGCTACATAGGCTGAGTTCGATTCTGCACAGTGCCTTCTTGACAGGGGCTGGACTTGACGATTGTGGTGTCCTCCCAGGTCATGAATAGTAATAAGCTATTTGCATGTACCAGTGAGAGTGCTGGCGAGGCAGAGTCACGAGATACAAGAGTTTCTGAGCAGAAGGGAGTTAGTTGAGGAATTTTAGGGGGCTGGAGAGTTTAGAGAGAGTTGAAGAGTTTTGGGAGTTTAGGCGGGAGAGTGGTGGTTGAGAGTGGATGAAGGAGGATGTTTGTTTAAGAGTTAACATTGCTTGTTCCGTCAACATGTGTAACAATAAACAATTTCTATTTGGTTCTTTTAAAAATGACACATTGCCTGCACCTCTGTGATTAATAATAAACAATGTTGATACAATCAACCGGTGGCAACTGAAAGACTCGTAGTCTGTGCTGTTAGTTTGGTGAAACAAGCAGGGGCCTAACCAGTGGCAGCTGAAAGACACGTAGTCTGTGCTCTTAGATTGGTGAAACAAGCAGGGGCCACTTGGGAACGTGACAGTGATCCATAGAGTCCCTACCAGCTTTTGAGTTCTAAGATTATTATTCTTATTATTTGGAACAAACTCCCCTATCCGTTTGGCCCCGTCACTGGGCATTTTTAAAAACCAACTTAAGGTCTGAGATCCGTTTGGCCCTGTCACTGGCCATTTTTAAAAACCCAACTTAAGACCTGGTTATTCAGACAGGCTATCCCTCCTGGCACTACTTAATTTATTTTTCTTCCCATCTTGGAACTACAGTATTGTTATCATTGTATATCGCTGTAAAACTGTTATTATGTATTAACTGTTTTTATCTTGTCTGTTGTGAGCCGCCCAGAGTAGACAGGGTCTAGATGGGTGGCATATAAGTGCAATCAATCAGTCAGTCAGTCAGTCAGTCAATCAATCAATCAATCAATCAATCAATCAATCAATCAATCAATCAATCAATCAATCAATCAATGTTTGTTAATAAGGAGCAAAGGTGGCTGGGATATTCTGGGATTTGTACTCTTTGGGGAAGCTGAACAAGTTCCAGAATGAACAAGGAGAGAGGGACAGAGACGAGGACAAACAAAGGCAGGAGTGCTTTGAGAAGAGATGGGGGGAGTGGGAATGAGATGGGTGTTTAACCTGGGCGAAGCGAAAAAGAACCCAAGGATTCTGCTGCACGAGACCAAAGGCTTGTTAGGTGAGCTCTCTTTTCATACAGTGGACAACCAGTAGAGTTGCCAGGGCTCAGGGCGCTATAGCTGAAACTTCAAAGCATGGGAAGCAAATCATGAGGCGAGCAGTGCTGCTGGAAGAAAAAGGTTTGACATTGTTATGTGTAAGGTGGTTTTAAATTCTGGAAGCCCCTATCCATCCATTCCTGGCTGGTATAAAGACTCCCTGGTTCAGCATAAAGGTATTTGCATGTATGTATGTTATGCTTGTGCAACATTGGTGCAGCCCCAAAAAAAGCTAGTACGGAAGAGAGAGAATGGGTGCCTTCCCTCGGGCCCATTTGGAGCAAGGTCAGGAATGAAGCTGTGCCTGAGTTTCAGCCTCTGATGTGAAGCCTAACATGAATTGTGGCAATCTCTGCAGCTGCTGGATATGTTTTGCTGCCTGCCTGGTCTCTGAGAAAGGGATTTTATCTCATGGTTCTGGGTTGGCCATCATTGTTCTAGACCCAGTAGCCCAGATTTTTCCCCTTGTGCCCATCTTCACAATCAGATGATCCAGGGGAATTCCATCTGCCTTCCAACTCTTGGTTGGCCTGCCTCTGTGACATTGTAAAGCCTCACCTCTCTTACATCAAAGGGCTGCCCACCTCTCCCCGTTTTGGCTGAGTCTGGTAGTAACTGTACTTTTTGCTAATTAGTGGAAGCAGGCACTGTGATATTGCAGTGTGTGTCCGTGTGTGTTTTCACAGGCATGTGCGCCTGTCATATATGCATGCACGCATACCTGTGAATGTGCTTGCATATTGATCTATTGTGGAAGAAAGGTGGGCATGGATAACATTAAATATGTGAGTGGAAGACATTGGCTGGAATGATCTGTTCTTTTCTGTAGATGCCTGGTGTTTGTTTTGTGCCTGCCATAGAAGCCTTTCTGGGAACTGTGTGGCATTTTGATATTGATATGAAAAGAGTATTCTTTGTCTTTATCAGATTGGGGTCATGCAGAACGTGTGAACTATTTTACTTAATGTTGTTGGGGGAAAAACAGTGGAACAGTCTAAAGGGCAATTGCAACCAAGTAGATGAGGAAGGCCAGGACAGGGTGTTTCTTTTTCTTTTCTTTTTTCTTTTTCTTGCTTGTCAAAACATATTTTTTATGTTCCACACCCTCTTCCTCATGGTTTTGTGTCCTTTTATATAGAAACAAGCTTGCTAGTTCTGACTGTGTATGATATTTTCCCCCACGATAACAAAGGGTTTAAGCTTTTGATATCTATGGAAATGGACTGTATTTGTTCATTGTAGCAAAATCAGCAAAAGCCAGTGTGTGACATAAATTGCTTAGAAGCAACATGTCTGAGTTCAAATATTCTCCTCCCCCCCCATAATGCCTTTAAAAGATAGAAGAGCAGCCAAATCAATCTGGGTGCAAGACTAAGTTTTAAGGTATAATGAGTCAATTCAGATTGTACTAAAGTAGGTACCCATGCTGCAAACTTTCCTGAAAATCAGAGTTTTTTTTTTAAATAGTTGAGAATATAAAGATCTGATTTTAGTTTTCTCTTTTTTTAAATTAGAAAGTACAAGATCTCATGTCTTGGGTTTCATTTGGTTTACATTAGTTAGGATTTATTGCTGAGGTGTGTGTCTGTGCTATATTCTGCACTTGTCATTGCCTCTGGAATATTTCTAAATCCTGTTCTGAAATGGATCTTTGAGAAGCAGTATCTCAGATTTAAAGAGGAATGTCCTCCTAGGATGTTACAAATTTCAAATAGTACCATATGTTCAAAAGGTTACTTTATGAACATCAAATATGATTTCTAGATTGTCTTAAATGGCTATAGGTTTTAATGAATAAAATCATCAAGCCCTGCGTACAGACCTGTGCTCTAAGAATGAATGAACAATCAGTAGTGGTCTGTAAAAATCTAGTAATGAATTAATGGAGGTGCGTTCTATTGAGTTTAGAAGGACTGGATCCGAAGTCAGTATACATTGGGCACAACCTCAGATGCTAACAAAGCATGTAATTAGGATTTTTTGATAGCTGTTGCTAGGAAGAAAGAAATCACTGGGCTAGATGGAATAATGATAGAACTGTTTCAAGCCACAGAAGCCAAATCTGTCAAAATCCAAATACACATTCCAACAAAATATATGCCAGCAACCATGGGAAACAAAACAAGGGTCTACAAATTGGGAACAGTCAATATACATTCCAATCCCTAAGTAAGGAGATGCCAGAGAATATGGAAACACAATGTATGAATTGGAATGTTTCTAGAACTGTTGTCAAGGCATATATTTAACATATGCTGTGTTAAACTGTTAAACACAAAATGATACATTTTGTAGGTAAAGGGGATAAAGTTTTTATGCTTTGTACTTTTGCCATTTGTGATTGTAATCACTACTGCATTATAGATCTTCCAAAAAGAGAGCAGATCTTTTAATTGTGCTTTCTAAGCCTTTGCCACTTTGTGGTGGTCTTGGTTGTGTTATTCCTTTCAATAGGGACCCTAGAATTTTCTGTACATGGAGAGCTGCCCTGTGTTGTTCTAACAAAGTGTGACAGATGTGAAGAATATTACATTTAGGTTACAGCAATCCGTGATTTAGCATCTTACATCACTGTTAAATTTTCCCCTTATCCTTTTTTGACAGATCTGTCATCAGCAAAGCGGAAGTTTGCAGATTCCTTGAATGATTTCAAATTTCGATGTATAGGTGATGCAGAAACAGATGATGAAATATGCATAGGTAAGTGAGCAGGTTTTAGCATTTTATACAAATTAGTGCAATATGTAAATGCCACTGGCATCAGGGCAGCAAGTGTGAGTCTCTATAAGATGACTCAGGTTTTTCCAAAGATCAGTAAGGGGATTTAGCTGTTCCAAAGAGATAATATAAGACTGAATAGTGTTGTCTTTACTATGGTTTTTTTGGCTTGTGCATGAATTGATGTTGCCAAGAATATCGCCACCCTAAAGTTCAGAGTGTAATGTTGTATCTTTTTTCGGTGCAATCGACCATTCATTTAAAAGAAGCAAACAAAGAGTGAAACAAGGAAAACATACAGACTTCATCTATTGCCTGAAACAGTACTAGATACAGTGGTGCCTCGCTTGACGAGGATAATTCGTTCCATTCAAATCGCTGTTAAGCGATTTCCTCGTCAAGCGAAACGAAAAAGCCCATTGAAATGCATTGAAAACAGGTTCAATGTGTTCCAATGGGCTAAATACCTCAGCGTCCAGCGAAGATCCTCCATAGGGCGGCCATTTTCGGTGCCTGTAAAGTGAGGAATCCGTCCTAAAACACAGCAGGGAGCCATTTTGCACAGCGGGCGGCCATTTTAGACCCGCCAATCAGCTGTTTTAAAATCGTCATCTAGCGAAAAATCGGTTCCCGAAGCAGGGAACCAATCACCGTTAAGCAATTTTTCCCTATCAAAACATTGTTTTGCGATCGCAAAAAGTTCATCCTCAATCGGTTTTGTCGTTTAAAGAGGTGATCGTTATTGGAGGCACCACTGTACTTGTCTGTAGGCCCCAGTGGTTTCAGAAGGCAGTAGATCATGATGCTGTCTACCTTGGCAGCTTCCATTTGTGGTGTTTATTGTTATTGTGGAATAGTTTTAGCTCATTCACTCACATTTCACACATGACTCCTTGAGAGGGCCTAGACTTGATGATCTGTGCGGTCCCTTCAAGCTCTGCAGTTCAAAGGTTGTTTTTTTGTTTGTCTATAAGCCTTCCACATTTTCTCAGTGCTGCCTCCACCTTTTGCTGAACACCATGACTCTTGACATGTTTGAAAAGTATGAAACACCATACCCGTCTCTAGCAGGACGATTCTACACTACCTGAACCAAAGCCATGCCTTTTAAGGACGGAAGAGTAGCAGACTGATATGGAAAAAAAAGGTTGTGGGTTGTATTCATGGAAGACAACAGTATGACATTCCCTGGACCATCTGAAAAGTCAACTGCAATTCCTCTAAGATTTTATAGCAGAAGAGCAGCATCTTACTAGTGTTTGACGTCTGGAAGCACCCACTTTATTAACCTGGATTTTTCAACTAGACCTATTCCTGGGAGTTCATGACTGGACATTTCAAGATAAAAGATACATGATTGAAATGGATTCTTATAACATAAGTGGTAGCCACAGAGCTCGTTGCTCAACTCACAGGGCAAGTGCAAACTCTGGGGCCTCCAATTCAGATGGCATTCCTTTTTAAAGCAATGGCAGAACCAAAACTCATAGAGCTTCCACTGGCTTGCCTGGTTGCACTTTCAGTGCCTTCCAGAATTTTTTAAAAAGCATAAGGAATAGCGGGATGGGACAACTCTCACCTTCCCACTTCCTTGTCACCCTATCTGTCTTCTCTAGAGCAATCATATGTCAGGTGGGATGTACAAATACGAAGTATATTATGTGACAAATAATATTTTCTATTTGGACTGGAAAAACGACAGGAAAAAACATGAGCATCCTCCCACCCAGCCCATATGCCATAGCATTTCTTTGTATTGGAAGTCCCGGTGGCTGCCTCTGCCTTGTCAGAAAGACTATGGGTGATCTAATAATGAGTCTGCTGTGTTATGTAGCTGAGACTTGAAACTGATCCTGGTATTATATTAGCCAGAATTCTGAACACAATTGGAGACAAGTGCTTAGCACTGCCTCTCTCTTGTCACTGCTTAGCTGATGGCTTTAGTTCCATGTATGCAAAGGGGAGGCTTGCTGTTCACATGTAGGCACCACATGTGAGCAAGAACTATTAAAAAATCTGGGTTCTGGCTTGCATGCTAAGCCTTCACGTAAGCACCAACTCTCTCCTCTTCAGAATGGATGCTGAAACCATTAGCATAGTGATGATGGAGGGGCGGGAAGATTAAGGTGCTTCCCTTGATGTGTGTTCAGAACACCGACTAATACAACACCCAAATAAGGACTTTAAAATAATGCAAAGAATCCAAGGAGAGAAAAAACAATTTTGCCAGCTGTTTAGGTTTGTTATTGTCTTTAGAAATGATCCTGAGGAAATGAAGCACAAACCTATTCAAGGAGGGCTTCTATGAGGTGGGGCTTTGTTGCGATGCTGCCAGTAGCTCCAGAGAAGCTCTCTGGAAAAACTGGAACCCATCCGGTCCGGGATCCCCTTTTTGAAATGGGGATTGAAGGAGAGTCTAGGAGAAGTCTCTCTGAAGCAGATGGTGAGCAGCAGAAGGAGAATAATGGGAGGCAAACCCGGACTTCTTCCCTCTGAAGAAATCACCCAGCACGGATCGGAGGTGGGGAGCCATATTTGGCACTGAGCCTTGAGTGACCCTTTACCGGGGGAGAAGAGAACAACCAATATAAGCTTATAATATATAGCAGCTAAGTAAGCTGAAGCCTTTGATTTATGAAACAGCCCCATTAAGCTGAAAATAAGAATGAAAATATTTGGCTAAAGAAGAAAAGCAGCAGCAAGCCTATCTTATCAGTCTGCCTCAAAAGCGAAACTAACTAACTCTTAATACAGCAGACTGGTTTCAGAGCTGAGAGACTGAGACGGAAAAATAAATCTTGTGTTTCTGGAAAAGAATCCCAGACGGTAATACCATCGGACAGGATTCAAGAGACTTGAGTTTTGTGAATGAGGTTTGGCTTGGACGTATTTCTCTTTTTTCTTTCCTGGACTCTGTGAATTTTTGATAATAGACTCTGGTGGTTTTCTGGAGAAGGAAGAAATAGCTGACATGGTCAACTGGACTGAGGAGTATCAATGGGTTAATAGAAAGATCATAAGACAGGCTTCAAGGACAACTACTGGACAGTCTGAGACTCTGTGATTGTTGTTTTGGTTTGTTGGACTGTGTGTGAGTCTGATAATAGTAGCTTGCTAGACTCAGAAGAAGAAGAAATAATTGTGCCACGGTTCTGTTTGAATTTGAATTTGCTGGGTTAAAAGTTGATTTTTATATTATAATATTTGGATAAAGATTGGGGGGAGATCTAAGGGGAGGTTTATGATTAGGGGTTTGGATTGTTGATAAAATTGTGGAAATTGTTGGAGGATATCTAAGGGGTGATCATTGTGGTTAAGGACATAGTACAGTGGTGTCTCGCTTAGCGATTGCTTCGTTTAACGAAGAATTCACTTAATGATGTGTTTCTTGGAGGAATTTTCCGCATCGTTTAATGATGTTCTCTGTGGGGGATTTTCACTTAACGATCTCTGTTTTCGCTAATTTTTAAGTGTCTTAAAATGTTTGAAACCTGTTTTAAATGCTTGGAATCGGTAGTCCCCCTTGTGAAACATGTGCAAACTTAATTTGGCTCTGTTCTGAGTCTTCGTTAATTT